CGCTATTAGGTTGGAGCCCATCGCTACTAGGGTGGAGGCCATCGCTAGGCTGGAGGCCGCCGCTAGTACCCTAAAGCTCCGAGAAGTCAAGAAACAAGGCTGGCAGCAATTTTTTTGGCTTCTTGCCTCAAGAAGTGCATTCTGGAAGCTTGTTTTTTTGGCTGACAGCTCTGAAACAAAGCTGCCAGCCTCAAAACCATACTTCCTAAAAAAGGGCTGCCAGCCAAAAAATCAAGCTTCTTGCCTGAGAAGCGCTTCTTGGAAAGTTTGAATTGTGTTGATGTTGAGTATTCCAGAAGCAGCTTCTGGAAGCCAACTTTGTGGCTTCCAGAAGCTGCTTCTGGAAGCTTGAAAAACAGGCTTCCAGACTTTCAGCTTTTTGGTTCAAGAACACAGAGCATGAGCACAACACAGAGCATGAGCAGCATGGCAAAATGCAAGCATGACCCCAAAAAAACAGCACATGAACACATGCACACAGTACACAGGGAGATACAGCTGAGCAAAGCTATAGGGAGCATGGCTGCACCTCTGCCTTTACAGCCTGAAGAAGGCATTGCAGAGTTTGCAACAGTTTTGAAAAGTTTTCCAGATGCATTGAAGCCTGCAGAATGGCCTAGTGACCATGAAGATGCCTGCAAGAGGCATGAACACTTCCTAGGGATGTTTTTGAGGAGGCCAAGCCTGAACAAGCCTGAATTAAGGCAAGCTGTGAAGCTAGCAAAAGGGTCCTTGACCATCTCTGAATGCAAGTTGCTGGCCACTGCATTCCATGAAGTGGTCAGCTACCTGAAGAAAAGAAAAAGGAACCTCAAGACTGGTGGGAAGACACCCCCACATCCAGAGGCTACTGGCTATTGTGGATGTGTCCATGAAGAAAAAAAAGTCTGAAGAAGGCCAAGCCAACAAGAGCTTGAAGCAGAAAATGGTGCCTGAAGAAGGCAAGGGCAAGAGACCAAAGCTCATCATAGCAGAGCCTGCAGAAGAAGAGGAGCCTCAGCCCACAGAAGTTTGGGGTGTGGAAAGTTCTGTTGCAGGAACCCAAAGTTCATCCATGGTGAGGCCTGAGGAGCTGATTGCAGCCTGTAGAAGGCTGGAAGTGAAACAGAAGCCTGCAGCCAAAGAGCCAGACATCTTGAAGAAACCTGCAGCCCAAGAGCCAGTCATCTTAAAGAAGCCTGCAGCCAAGCCTGCAGAAGGCAAAGCAAAAGACACAGAGCCTGCAGAAGGCATTGCAAAGGCAAAGCTTGGCAAATCCTGGGCCAAGTCTGTCTCCTT